AGTGTCCACATTTGTAAGGAAGGAAACACTGAAGAAACCTGGCATAACAAGGAATTGGGATGTGGTTGCTGCTTCTCTTCCCTTTTATTCTAAACCCCATGCTCCCTCTGTCATATTTATCTCCTTTTGTGTTTCAGAATGGTATTCTTATTAGTCATACTATCTATCTATCTATCTATTTATTTATTTATTTATTCTTTTACTTTGAGACAGGTCCTCGATAATTTGCCAAGGCTGACTTTGAACTTGCAATCCTGCTGTCTCAGCCTCCCAAATTGCTGGTATAATAAGTGTGCGCCATGGTGCCTGAGTCAGTTTATTTTGGGGAAGGTTGTACACACACTTCAGTAGCAGAAGGACAACCTTTTCAATAAATGATGTTGGGCAACTTTATATCCTTAAGCAGAATAAATAAATAAACAAATATAATTGTTAACCTAAGACTCACACCTTACACCTCCAAATAAATCACAGAAATAAGTATCAAATGAAAAACTGTAAAACTTTTTTGGGAAAAAAATGGTACAGCCCATGATTACTCCAAAGTTCTTAGGCATAGGCTAAGAATATGATAGTTACAAGGAAAAAAATCAATAAATTGGATCTTAGCACTTAAGAACTTGGGCTCTGTGGAAGACCCTGTTAATAGGATGAAAAGGCACTACAGAAGCCAGAGACCAGGAGATACTTTAACTTGCCATATACCAGGACAGGTGTTGTATGCAGAAGAAAGAACTCTCAAAACTCTGCATTTTGAAAAATCCAGTTAGAAAACAGGTAAAGGATATGAGCAGGAATTTCACCAAAGGGAGTAGACTGGTAGAAAATAAGTGCTTGGAAAAATAAATACTCAATATCTTAGCCATTAGACAAATGCAATATAAAAGCATCTGTTGGAATATCTAAAATTGAAAAGACTTACCTCACTAAGTATTGATGAGGATTAGAGAAACTAGATCACTCAGCATCTCCAGCAGGGATGTAAAAGATTATAGTCATTCTAGAAGATAATCTTGCAATTTCCTTTAACACTAAAAATGCACTTCTCACATAACCCAGCAATTGTGCTCCTGGGCATTTACCCCAGAGAAATGGAGCCTGTGTTCACAAGAAATAACCTGTATGTAAATGTTCCTAGCATTCCATTCATAGCCCCAAACTAGAAGCAGTCCAAATACCCTTCAGGGATGAAAGACAACCATCTATATCCATTCCATATACTACTTCCCAGCAACCAAAAGAAAATAATTGTTAACCCACACAACTTGAATAAGCCTCAAGGAAAATTTGGTAAGTGAAAAAAGCCAGTTCCAAAAGCTCACCTATAGCATATGCTTCCATTCCTAAAGCATTCTGAAACAACCAATGCAGTTTCTAGAGGTTAGGAATACTTGGTTAGCACGTCTGTGTTTGGGTCATGGTGTCCTTATAAGAAGCTGCACTGTGATAAAAATCACGTAGAAGACACACACTGAGATGTTTACAGCTGGTAAAATCTAAATAAACTCTGATTGTATCCGTGTAGATTTTCTAGTTTCATTGTGTACTATGGTTACACCAAGGGCCCCACATGGGGAGTAGTGGAGCGGGGGAACAGGACCTCCTTATGTGCTTATCATCAAGTTTCTTTAAATCTATAATTATTTCAAAATCATATTTAATATTTAAATATTTAAAACATTCAAAAGTCTCCATACTGTTTTCTGATTTCCTCATTTAACAGCTCTAGGTTATGAGGATCTCGTCCCATTATAATAAAACTAAGTAAGGTCATGAGAATTAATGCTTACACTGTGTCTGTAATATTAGAATTCCTTAATAATAAGGTTCTAAAGGTTCATTAATCACATAATGACCTATAATTTTAAGTTCATTTGATATATAGGACTAAAAAGATGGGAAAATTTTTTTTTACAGTGCTGGAGATTGAGCCCAGGTCCTCACACATGCTAGGCAAGGGTTTTATCACTGAGCTACACCCTCAACCCTATAAAAATCTTAACAAGTTGAAGAAATTGATTGCATGAGATCAATGCTAATAATTGTACCCGTATTACCTAGTAAAAGACGTTTTGTTTCCACTCTCAAAACAAGCATTGTCTGAGTAGCTTGTCTTTTTCTTTCTTCCTTTTTTTCTTTTTTTTTTTTCTTTTTCTTTTAAGCAGTGCTGGGAATTGAACCCAAGGCCTCATACATGCCAGGCATTCAACCACTGAGCTATACCCTCAGCCCCTGAATAGCTTTTGAACTTTTAAAATTCAAGTTTAGAACTGGACTTAGAAATATAATAAGACCAATGAAATCTAAGGATAAAACAGGCCTTTTTCCTTATCTATCCTGTTAAAAATGTTTCTTCCCTTTGGAAGTCTGACTACCAGTCTGATATTAAGAAACATGAGGCATGAACTGCCTGCCTCTGAAACGAAGGCTGAGGCAGATGGGTGCTCAGTGTGTTCCCCCAGGCTTTAGTAGACTCTCTTAGAAGCTGTGCTCAACTATGCCTTTCTCATAGTGTAGGTGTCCACTGAGTCTCTCAGTTAATTCTGGATGTTTCATAGGAACTATGGAAGGAATATATATGAGGACGATGTTATCCCTGGCCTAAAAGGACTTGTAGTCCAGTGGTGGATCACATTTCTTTATGATCAGTGCAGTGCAAATGTGTAAATTGGTTGTATGAAGATTAGGACACAGCTGGATCAAGTCTGAAAAGATTTCCACAGAGGAAGACCAGATGTTTGGGGATAGGAGGATCTTCTTCAAGGGGTGGTGCTGACCAGGGGAGGCCCAAGGCAGGTACAGTGACCAATGTGGGTTGACCTGGTAGGGATTATAATTCCTGAACCCCAGTCCAGGACCCAAGACTGACAAGTATGAGGTTGTATAATGGGAGAAGGCAGGATTCAGACTTGACCCCAGGGCTGCCCTAGGTACAGGAGTGTAAATAGTTTGCCACACAGTTCATATCCACTGACTTTCTTAATGCCATGATAGGAATATTGCCACTTCTGTCAATTTTGAAATCTTGTTGTACCTTTCCACATTTTAAAACTACATTTTACAAATAAATTTGTATTGCAGATTCTTATTCTTTTAATGTCAGATAGAAAGTCACATTGACACGAGTAGTTATTTTAGAGACTGTGGTGTTCACTAACAGAGTCAGCCTGCTTAACCCAAGCAGTGTCATTTTGGCAAATGATAAATAGGTGACAACATGTGTGTGCTACTGTACGTGTCATTCTGACTTAAACATAGGTACAGTTGTGCTACGATACAGTTTATTCAGACATTAGAAGCTACCTTGATGACTACAGAAACACAGAGAGACTTGTTAGGTATGAGAGAAAACTGTAACCTTATTTTCTTAAACTTCAGTCTTTTAAAAATTTTATGTACTTGTGTATTGGTAATTATCCTCACAGAAATGGATGCATTATTCTAAGTTTTAAGAAGCAGGTTAGCTAATCTTGGGGCAGAAATTTCCACATAAAGTAACCATTGCACCATAGTAGAGATGTACTTATTTGGTCTCTGCCAATTTATTTCTCCAGTTTTCCATTCTGAGCAGAAACTTAGAGTGAAAAATGTACCTGACCTTCATTTCTAGCCCAGGTCGGCAGGGGTGCCCCTCCCTTCCAGGCTCCCTTTTACTCCTTTCCCTAGGCTGTGTTCCAGGTCCTCCTCCTCACCATCCCATAAGGCATGTGTCTTCTCTGTTCTGGTCACTGCTTTACAGCTCCTGTGACCATTTGCAGGCCATGTTGCCTTTCCTGTATGTCTGTCTTCTGGCCGTCCTTGACCATGTGGCTGCCATGTCTGCTGGTAGTCTGAAGAGCAATAAAATAAGCCAGTCTCCCCAGAACACCAGTCACACCTGATATGGTCCCACATCAAGAGAGGCTAGCCAAGAAGGGATGCCAGTGAGCCCTCTGGACAAGCACACCATCTGGATTTTCATGTAGATTGTATCCTCGTTAGTTCAACTAATTGTGATTATACAAATTCTATAGTATTACTACTGTATGTGCGTACATATATTTTAATGGTGGTTTGTGGTGCAATACTGAAAACATTAAAGAAGAGGAGTTTGATTATTATTCTTTTTTAATATTTATTCTTAAGTTTTAGATGGCCACAGTATCCTTATTTTACATTTATGATGTATGTGGTGCTGAGGCTCGAACCCAGTGCCTCATGCATGCTAGGCGAGCACTCCACCACTGAGCCACAACCCCAGCCCCTGATGATTATTCTGACCAACAGTATGCTCCACATATTTCTCAACAAATTGTATAAAATTAGCAATTCAATCTAAGAACTTCAAAGATATATTTTTATTAAACTTTTATTAAAGAGATAGAATAATGACTGATCATTGCTATGATGGATTCTGGTCTCATTTTGGGGGTGGGGAAACAGGATACAATTATAATCATTAAAACATATTTATTAACTAATAAATGTTACCCAGAAGTTTATCAGCTTTAGCTACTTTATCCTTCTTGCCCTTTTCTCCCCTATCACCTTTCTTTATAATTTGTATAGAATGCACACTAGTCATTCTTTTAGAAATGCTACCAGCCAGTGCATTATAAGAAAAAAAAATTATCCTGCTAGCACATTTAAGCTTACTTTTCTGAATCACATTGCCAAGAAAATAGTATGGTTTCAGTAAAACCCAGACCATTATACAGATATTATATGATTCATTTGTGAGTACTTAAGAAGTTGTCTGCATTGCCATTTGGTATAATTTTAAGGTCTAAGAAACAACTACTGAATTCTTTCATGCATCATTTAGCAATACAACCCCTTTCTCATTTATTTTTCGGAATCACTACTGAATTTAAGTTTAACCTTTTGGTTAGGTCTCATTATCCTCCCAGAAAAGATAGTGTTGGCTTCCAACTGTTCATTTTCTAAAAGAAAACCAGTTTTTGGAGAGATATTTTATGCTTCAGGGTTACTTATTTATAAATTTTGAATTTTCTTTACAGAGATAGAGACATTAAATAAAACTTTGACAGCGTCACAGAGAACTAAGGTATGCCTTGAAGAGGAAATGAAAAATCTCAAATTGTTGTCAGATACAGCCATCTTGAGGTCCCAGCAGATTCATATGTCCAAGCAGCAGGAAGAAAACTTACAAGTCAGATGCCATGATTTACAGAAAGAAGTACTAGGTAAAGAGCATTTTTTTTCCTGTTGTTAGCAATTAACCATAACGAGGAATTTTCTAGAAATTTTTTTCTTATAATCACAACAAAACCTTGCTTTAATCAATTTATCCTGCAAATATACTTATCTGTAACTATAAGGGTAACCATGTCTGGGATTCCGGCTTCCTCACATCCCTTCAGCCGTGTCATTGAGAGTGGTAAGACTTATGGGTGTGTACCGAAGACGTTGTAAGCCCAGAGAGGAAGGGGACCTGGCCCCAACATAGTCTTCAAAGGCACACCCCCAAAGAACCCACTTTCTCCAGAGTGCCATCAGCTGGGGACCAAGCCTTCGGCACATAAGCTTTAGGGGGACATGTAAACTCCAGACTGTAACACCTGGTCAGGTATATTATAGGATGCCCCTCTGTTAGAATTATTTGAGTTTTTTCCTCATGATCACACTGGAGTCATTAGCTTGGGGAAGGAAAAGTGCTGTTGTCACTATGGCATTAATCTTTTCACAAGTAAGTATCATCAACGTAATGTCAACTTTCATGACCTGGCCGCATGACTGTGATTTCCTTTCTCTTTCTCTACCCTGTATTCTCTGGAAGGAGTTCTCTATGTACACTAAGACTTGAACTGGAAGTCTGCCCCTCACCTTCAGGGAAGCAGTCAGAATGCTGTACTTGGAAATCTTCTGCGTGGAAGATTTATCTTTTCTCCACATTTTTAATGTATCATTTACATGTGGATTTTACAAATGGATTTTAATTTTTTAAATTTTTTATTTGGGGGTACCAGGGATTAAACTCAGGGGCACTCAACCACTGATCCACATCCCCAACCCTTTTTTGTATTTTATTTAGAGACAGGGTCTCACTGAGTTGCCTAGTGCCTTGCTTTTGTTGAGGCTGGCTTTGAACTAGCAATCCTTCTGTCTCAGCCTCCTGAACCACTGGGATTAGAGGCATGTGCCACTGTACCCAGCTCATGAACTTTTATTTTATACCTTGATTATAAACCAGTATTGCTTTGCTTACTTTTCTCCTCACATTTTCTGGCTTTGGCCACTTGGGTTCTTTCGGTCAGCTCCTGTATCCTGTTGATACATTCCAGACACTTTGGGCTATTGTTTGTAACCATTATGTCTGTGGCAGCAGGAGGAAACCTCATCTCAGAATCAGTGACTTCTCTAAAGAGCTCTAATTCCTGTTATTGGATAATGGCATTCTTGCTGAGCACCCCTCTTCCCTATCTAGAATTAATCTAATCCTTCCATGCTCTCCCTCCCTACCCCACTATGAGTCACCCCGCTTATATCAGAGAAAACATTCAGCATTTGTTTTTTGAGGATTGGCTGACTTCACTTAGCATTATCTTCTCCAATGCCATTCATTTACCTGCAAATGCCATGATTTTGTTCTCTTTTAATGCTGAGTAATATTCCATTGTATTATATATGCCACATTTTTTTCATCCATTAATCCACTGAAGGACATCTAGGTTGGCTCCACAGTTTAGCTATTGTGAATTGTGCTGCTATAAATATTGACGTGGCTGTGTCCCTGTAGAATGCTGTTTTTAAGTCCTTTGGGTATAGTCCAAGAAGAGGAATAGCTGGGTCAAATGGTAGTTCCATTCCCAGATTTCCAAGGAATCTCCGTACTACTTTCCAAATTGGCTGTACCAATTTGCAGTCCCACCAGCAATGTGTAAGTGTACATTTTTCCCCACATCCTCGCCAACACTTGTTGTTTGTCTTCATAATAGTTGCCATTCTGACTGGAGTGAGATGATATCTTAGAGTAGTTTTGATTTGCACTTCTCTGATTACTAGAGATGATGAGCATTTTTTCATATATTTGTTGATTGATTTTATATCGTCTTCTGAGAAGTGTCTGTTCAGGTCCTTGGCCCATTTATTGATTGGGTTATCTGTTTTTTTGTTTGTTTGTTTGTTTGTTTGTTTTGGTGCTTAGCTTCTTGAGTTCTTTATATACCCTAGAGATTAGTGCTCTATCTGATGTGTGAGGGGTAAAAATTTGCTCCCAGGATGTAGGCTTTCTATTCACCTAACAGTTTGTTTCTTTGCTGAGAAAAAACTTTTTAGTTTGAATCCATCTTATTTATTGATTCTTGTTTTTAATTCTTGTGCCATAGGAGTCTTATTAAGGAAGTTGAGGCTTAATCCCACATGATGAAGATTAGGGCCTACTTTTTCTTCTATTAGACGCAGAGTCTCTGATTTAATTCCTAGGTCCTTGATCCATTTTGAGTTAAGTTTTGTGCATGGTGAGAGACGGTGGTTCAATGTTATTTTGTTGCATATGGATTTCCAGTTTCCCCAGCACCATTTGTTGAAGATGCTATCTTTTCTCCAGTGCATGTTTTTGGCACCTTTGTCTAATATAAGAAAATTGTAATTTTGTGGGTTAGTCTCTGTGTCCTCTATTCTGTACCATTGGTCTACCGGCCTGTTTTGATGCCAATACCATGCTGGTTTTGAAAACTATTTTAAGTTGCTTAACTATATCACCTATTTATAAAATTAAATAAATTTATAAATAAGACTCTGAAAAGGTCATGCTATTTATTTTAGATAATAAAAGGACAAATTAGGGTAGATTTGCTGAAATATACATCCTACTTCTTAAAAATAGTTTTCTGAAAAACACTGAGAGTAGAAAAAGAGAGCAAGGTGAACTACCCTGAGAGGACTATGAATAGTGGAGATTTTTAGTCTTGGGTTTGACTTGGTTTGGTATAAAACTTTGTAAGTGAATGATACATGAAGTTACATCTCAGTTTCCTTTGGTAACAAAGCCATTAATATAAAATAAAATGTTTTTAAAAATAGTTTTATCAAAGTGCACATCCTGTCCCCAAATCAATGCATATTGTTCTTGTCTCTCTTCTATTAATGAGCAGTGTTCTTGAATATTTTAGTTTCCTAGAAAAACACACCAGAGCATAGTGTATCTTATACTGCACCAACAGAGAGTTTAGGTTCAGTAGTAACCTTTTCATGTTTGACAAAATAAGTGATAGTATATGGGATTCGTGGCATAATGGGTAATGATAAGAGAAGAAAGGAGGACACTTTCCCTTCTGGGGACTCCACCCCAGCCCCTCTGTGCCAGACATTTGACTAGCACTAAGCACTTGACCAAGAATCAGCACTGCCCATTCTCTCATCTGATTGTCACATTAGTCTATGTGAGGACTTTTATAGTCCCTTTTAGGTAGAGAAACAGTCCATGGTGACACAGCTGAGACTGAGACCCAAGCTGTGTCAGGTCAGAGCCTGTGGTGGCTCATGGACTATTCAGTGAATTCCAAAAAGACACCTGAGAATACTGAACTCCTTTTCCTTAATAATAAAAAATTAACAAATGAGTTTTTCTCTCCTTATAGAAATAAACCATTGACTAGGCAAGTCTTCTAAGAATTTAAGCTGTTTTTCAAAATTACATGACCACAAGAACATCAGTGGCTTGTAGGGAAGGGAAGAGAAGGGAGAAGGGTTAGGCAAGACAAGAGGACCTATTAAAAATGCACATACTTGCACATCTGCCAGGCATACTGAGTTAGAAACGTCAAGATTCTAATACTCTTTATTTTTAGTAAGTGCTCCAGGTACAATTTATGACCAGAAAAGTTTGGCACAAGCTTAAAAAAAAATAGTAAGAAATACAGAAAAAAAATGTTCCTATTGTAGCCCACTTGGGTTTAATATTAAGGCCACAACTCTGACATGACCCCAAAGCCCCGTAGGATGTGAGCAACACTGCCATGCTCCTGAGACCCACCCAGGATGTGCACAACTACCCCACTCCTTCAGCCACCCTACAACCACTTAGATGTTTCCTTGCAGTCCCAAGGCGCCCCTTCTCACCCATGGAGCCAGGCCAAGTGGGCCAGTATGCCTTTGCAGACGGGCAGGCCACTGTACACAGTGCTGGCAGCCCACATGGCAAATGCTGTCCTTTTTGGCTGTATCCGCTGCACTCCTTTTACTCCCATCTGGCCAGTCTGGGACCTCTGTCCTGTGCACAGCCCTGCTGTGCTGCAGCATAGGTTCCATTGGAGCCTCGCTGGGATGATTTTATTGCGTCTATGTGATTTTTCTCTCCAGTGGAGTAGACTGAGCTGTTGGTTCCAAGGGCTGCTAGCCCTGAGAATACCTATCAGCTGAAGAGCTGCTAGAGAGCTCTGAGAACTGTGCAGAGCTGCCAGTTTAACCAGAACTGTAGAAAGCTGGGGAGAGCTGTTAACAACAGTGATGAAAGCTGCTGACACTCAGAGGGCAGGGTCACACTAAGAGCTGAGAGCTGCTGGTGATCAGAGCTCAGAGCTGCTAGCACTAAGGGAGCTGCCTTTTTTTCAACTTCTATTGAAATTGTACAAAAAAAAAAAAAAAAGTCCTCAACTGAATGTACCAGAACAAGGGAATTTATTGAATGAATATGTAGGTGTTCAGCATGTGTGAAGGTGGTTAGGGAGGCTGCCAACTTCAAAACCAGAATCATGCCATGAGACTTGTCTGGTGAGGGCACAGCTGCCCTGTACTTAAGACCCTGTACCCCAACCTGCTCCTGACAACTGCTTAGCCTGAAATGACTGCTCCCCTGCTTCGGATCTTGGCATCAACTATTATCAGAGCAGCTCTTGAGAAAAATACTTGAAAAACAGTCTGGAAAGGAAGAACTGTTTGGCCACCTAACCCCAGCATATTTAGACTGTTATCAGAGGGATGTGTTGCTGCTATAAAAATGGCATATATATCTTTAGAACAGAGCAGCAAATCCAAAGCAGAATCAGATTTTAACATTAGGGTCATTAACCATGGGAAAAAGCAAAATTATGTCAAAAGTTTTGTAGACATAAATAAGCCAAATACACCAAACAAAGTTAATGAAAACTGTCACACAAAAAGATACAGAATATCTTAATGGTTGGGATGGAGCAGCATGTTAAACACTATGAAGAGAAAATTTTTGCCTATTAAAAAAAAGTGG